AGCTGCAATACATGTGGGTGTGCAGGAGCCTCTACAGTATGACTCACATTCCCTCAGGTATATCCTAGGAGTGGGATTGCTGGATCATATGGCAGATCTCTTTTTTGTTTTTTAAGGAGCCTCCATATTGTTTTTCCATAGGGATTGTACTAGCTTACATTCCCACCAGCAGTGTATGGGGGTTCCTTTTCCCCTGCATGCTTGCCAACATTTGTTGTTGGTGGTGTTCTTGATGGTAGTAATTCTAACAGGAGTGAGGTGGAATCTCAGTGTGGTATTGATTTGCATTTCCTTTAGGGCCAGGGATGGTGAGCATTTTTTCATGTGTTTTTGACCATTTGGATTTCTTCCTTTGAAAAAGTTCTGTTTAGTTCAGTTGCCCAATTCTTTATTGGTTCCTTGATTTTGAGGGTTTAGTGTTTTTGAGTTCCCTGTATATTCTGGTTATCACTCCTTTGTCTGATGTATAGCTAGCAAAGATTTTTGTCCCATTCTGTGGGTGGTCTCTTCAATTTAGAGACCATTTCCTTCCTTGTGCAGAAGCTTTTTAATTTTATGTAGTCCCATTTGTCCATCCATTCTCTTAGTTGCTGAGCTGCTTGAGTTCTACTAAGAAAGTCCTTGCCTATATTGATTCCAGTGTATTCCCTGCTCTTTCCTGTACTAACTTCAAGGTTTCAGGTCTGATATTAAGGTCTTTAATCCAGTTTGAGTTGATATTAGTACAGGGTGACAGGTTGTATTACATTTATAGATTTGCATATGTTGAACCACCCCTGTATCCCTGGGATGAAGCTGACTTGGTCATGGCGTATGATCTTTCTGATGTGTTGTTGGATTCAGTTTGCCATTATTTTATTGAGGATTTTTGCATCAATATTCATTAAGGAAACTGGCCTGTAGTTCTCCTTTTTGGAGGTGTCTTTGTCTGGTTTTGGAATGAGAGTAATATTGGCTTCATAAAATGAGTTAGGCAGTGTTCCTTCCCATTCTATTTCATGGAACAGTTTAAGGAGAGTTGGTATTAGTTCTTCTTTAAACGTCTGATAGAATTCAGCAGTGAATCCATCAGGTCCTGGACTTTTCTTGTTTGGGAGGCTCTTGATTGCTGCTTCAATTTCTTTTTGTGTTATAGATCTATTCAGGTGATTAATATCCTCTTGGTTCAATTTTGGGTGGTTGTAAGTTTCTAGATATCTGTCCATTTCTTCAAGATTTTCAAATTTATTAGAGCATAGGCTCTCAAAGTAGTCTCTGATGATTTCCTGGATTTCTGTGGTGTTTATTGTTATCTCCCCTTTTGCATTTCTGATTTTACTGATTTGGGATTTTTTTCTCTCCTCATTTTAGTCAGGTTTGTCAGGGGTCTGTCAATCTTATTTATTTTTTCAAAGAACCAGCTTTTGGTTTAATTGATTCTTTGTATGTTTTTTTTGTTGTTTCTACTTCATTGATTTCAGCCCTTATTTTAATTATTTCTTTCCTTCTGCTTGTTTTGGGATTTGCTTGTTCTTCCTTTTCTAGGAGTTTGAGATCTTTCTGTCCTTTTAATGTATGCACTCATGGCTATAAACTTTCCTTTTAGGACTGCTTTGCTGTGTCCCATAGGTTCTGGTAGGTCATGTTTTCATTTTCATTAACTTCCAGGAACCTTTTAATTTCCTCTTTTATTTCATCAATAACCCATTGATCATTGAGCAATGTGTTGTTCCACTTCCAATTGTTTGTGTGTTTTTTACTGTTGTTTTTGTTGTTGATTTCTAGTTTTAATGCATTCTGGTCAATAGAAATGCATGGGATTATTTCTATTTTCTTATATTTACTGAGGCTTGCTTTGTACCCTAAGATATGATCAGTTTTGGAGAAGGTTCCATGGGCTGCTGAGAAGAATGTATATTGTGCAGAAGTAGGTTCCATGGGCTGCTGAGAAGAATGTATATTGTGCAGAAGTTGGATGAAATATTCTGTAGACATCAGCTAGGTCCATTTGATCTATGGTGTGATTTAATTCTAGGATTTCTTCATTGATATTTTGTTTGGATGACCTATTTATTGGTGATGGGGGTTATTAAGGTCTCCCACTACCACTATGTCAGAGTTTATATATGGCTTTAGGTTCTTCAGAGTATGTTTGATGAAACTGGGTGCACTGACATTGGGTGCATATAGGTTGATAATTGTTATTTCCTTTTGGTGTATTTCCCCTTTTATTAGTATGGAGTGTCCTTCTTTATCTCATTTGATCAATGTAGGTTTGAAGTCTACTTTGTCTGAGATAAGTATTGCTACCCCTGCCTGTTTTGGGGACCACTGGCTTGGTAAATCTTCATCTAGCCTTTCACTCTCAGCCAGTGCTTATTTCTGTCAATGAGGTGGGTCTCCTGTAGGCAGCAGATTGTTGGATCTTCCTTTTTAATCCAGTTTGCCAATCAGTGCCTTTTGATGGGGGAATTTAGTCCATTCACATTCAGTGTTAGTATTGATAAGTACGTGGTGATCCCTGTAATGTAGTTTTCCTTGTTAAGGGTTTGATTGTGTGTAGCTAAATCAATGTTACTCTCTACTTCTTGTTTTTTCTTTTTCTGTGGTTTGGTATTGCCTGCCCTTTCATGGTTTTGTTTGCTTTTATTTTCTGTGTGCAGAATTCCTTGGAGAATCTTTTGTAGTGGTGGCTTAGTGGTCATACATTCTTTTAGTTTCTGCTTATCATGGAATACTTTTATTGCTCCATCTAGTTTGAATGATAGTTTTGCTGGGTAGAGTATCCTAGGATTGAAGTTTTTGTCATTTAGTGCTTGGAAGACCTCACTCCATGCTCTTCTTGCTTTTAAGATTTCTGTTGAGAAGTCTGCTGTCATTTTGATGAGTTTACCTTTGTATGTTATTTGTTTTTTCTCTCTTACATCCTTCAATATTCTTTCTCTAGTCTCTGTACTTGTTGTATTAATGATACTATGTCATGGGGTAGTTCTATTTTGGTCAGGTCTGTTCGGTGTTCTGGAGGCTTCCTATTCCTGAATGGGCATAGTTTTCTCTAGATTTGGGAAATGTTCTGTTATTATTTTGTTGAATATATTACACACTCCTTTTGCTTGCACCTCTTCTCCTTCTTCAATGCCCATGATTCTCAGGTTTGGTCTTTTGATGGAGTCCTTGAATTCTTGCATTTTCTTTTCACAGGTCTTGAGTTGTTCAACTAATAGTTCTTCAGTTTTTCCTTTAATTTCCATTTCATCTTCAAGTTCTGAGATTCTGTCTTCTGTTTGTTCTATTCTGCTGGAATGGCCTTCCATTTTGTTTTGTATTTCTCTATCATACTTTTTTCCTGAGGTATTCCATATCGTGGGTTACTTATTTTTGCCCTTAATTCATTTATCTCTCTGTTTATGGTGATCTCTCTTTCAGTTTGTTGTTTATTTAGGGCTCCTATGATTTCATTTACTTGTTTCTGTGTTTTCTCATAGTCTTTATTTTTGTTGTCTTGGAATTTCTTGAGTGCCTCCTGTACATTTTGGTTGACTATGTCTAGTAACATCTCTATGAAATTCTCATGAATTACTTGTAGGATTTCTTCTTTCAGAATGTTCTTATGGCCTTCGTTGGGTTCCTTGGTATAGTTTACCTTTGTTTTTTGGAGTCTGGATCTGGGTATCCATTTTCTTCATTTTGCTCTAAATCCTGTACTACTTTATTATTGTAGGGAGAATGGTTTCCATCCCTTTTTCTTCCCATATTTCCACTAGGTACCATTTCTGTCCCTGGACTATGTGTAATTTAGTATTAGCTGGGTTACAATATTAATATTAACAAAACCAAGAGAGAAGTATAAAAAAGAGAAAGAGAAGGAAAGATAAAAGGAAGAGAAGAGGAAAAAAATGCGAGAGATTGTGGGTGATCAAACAGCAAACCAGACAGCCAAACCCTTACAGAAGGATAAAAAAAAAATCACCAGTTCTGGAACAGTGGAATTGCAGTCTTAGTTGTTTTGATGTTACTCTTACCGTCCAGTCCTGTTTGTTTGTGTCTCTTAGGCAGGTTTGGAGCCCTCTAGCAGCTGCCTGAGCAGGAGCCTCGTGGAGAGGTAAGCCTGTAGAGCTGGGGACTGGCTTGGCCTGAGGGGCAGAGATCCCGGCGGGCTGGGGGATGTGGCTGTCTCACACCAAGCTGATGCCCAGACCTGAGGGGCTGGGATCCCAGTGGAGCATGGATTCCATGTGGTGCTGGGGTCCAGCATGGTCTGAGCAGTGGGGATCCCGGTGGGGTGTGGATACCACACAGAGCTGGGACACAGCGCGTTCTAAGGGGTGGGGATCCTGGTGGAGCATGGATCCAGCACACAGCTGAGGTGTGGTGTGGCCTGAGGGGTGGGGATCCCGGTGGTGCATGGATCTGGCATGGGGCTGGGGCCCAGCATGGCCTGAGGTGTGGAGAGCCCGGCTGAGTGGAATAGTGGCTCTGCAGGCCTAGGGGGCAGGGACTTGGCAGGCTGACTGTTCTTTAATTAGACTGTGGCGTGGAGAAGACTTCCACAATCTAAGGGTTTAGAGTGCCGTATTTTCGGCTCTCCCTGGTGTCTCCAGTGTCTTAGCAGAGTCCCTGGTTCAGGAGCTCATGAGGTCTGTGGCTCTGTCCCAGTTGCCATCTTGGATCCCTCTGGGGCTTGTTAATCTTGTTTATTTTGTCAGAAAAAGTTTTTTGTTTCATTGATTCTTTTTATGTTTTTTAAAATCTCTATTTCATTAATTTCGGCCTTGATTTTTATTATTTCTCTCCTTCTTGATTGGGCTTTGCTTCTACTTGTTTGTCTAGGTGTTTGAGATGTAGCATTAGGTTGTGTATTTGAGATCTTTCTCTCCTTTTAATATATGCACTCATGGATATAAACTTTCCTCATAAGACTGCCTTTGCTGTGTCCCATAGGTTTTGATAGGTTGTGTTTTACTTTTCATTAAATTCCAGGAACTTTTTGATTTCCTGTTATTTCTTTTATGACCCACTGATCTTTGAGCAATGTGTTCTTCAGTCTCCACTTGTTATGAGTGTTTTCTGCTGCTGCTTTTTTTGTTGAGTTCTAGTTTTACCTCATTGTGATCAGATAGAATGCAGGGGGTTATTTCAATTTCTTTATATTTTTGAGGCTTGCTTTGTTAGGCATGCATTCTTACTGTTTGACCCATTCCACTAGCCCCAGTGCTGGGGTTTGAATTCAGGGCCTCTTGTTTGCTGGGCAGATGTACTTCTTGAGCCACACCTCCAGCCCTGTGCCTCAAATTATGCTGTTTCCTATTGAGATAAAGTTGGGCAAAGTAATTTTATTTATTCTCCTTTTTCAATTAACAAATGTTTCTTTTGGCTTACATACTTAATTTATAAAAGTGATTTGAAAGATGGTCTACCTTTGTTTCCCAGGAAAGCATTTAGGTAGATCTAAACTGTATGTTACAGAGGATGGTCATTTTCTGCTACAGCTTGCTTTCTGCATGCTTGTTCTGAATGTGAAATTTAAGAGCTGGTAACATAAAGACTGCTGGATGGATAATCGTAGACACTAGGTATTCCTATGTATGGTCTTTTTGTTACCAGTTGTTTTTTATGATTAGGTAAATTCCTGTCTTCTGCTCACTCAAAGTTATAAAATGAATTTACAAATAATGTAAACCAATAATTTTAAATGTAGAAGAAATAGTTAATAGTCATAAAAATCAATTCATCACAATTATTGAAGGTCTGTTTCTTGATGGTAAATCAAACATATAAAGAACAGGCTTGATGCAATGAGAAATCCAGTCAGTACATGACAACTCACTGATGTACTTACTCTGTCTTTTCTCCACACTCATGACTGTGGGGAGCACCTTTGATATCACAGGGAAACCATCACGGAAGCCTCTGTATTTATTTTCTATTGCTGCATAATAAATTACCACAAACTCAGTGGCTTAATGGAACTCATTTATTATCTCACAGTTCTGTACATCAGAAGTCCAGGTACAGCTTCAGGCAGGTTATCCTTCTGAGGGTTTCACAGAGGAGAAATCTAGGTATCAGCTGGGCAGTAGCATCATCTGCAGGTTGCAGTAGTTTTGTAGATTCTTGCAGGTTGTTGGAAGAATGAATTCAGCTCTTTGTGTCATACAACTATGGTCCCATTTGCTTCCTGCTGGCTGAAAGCTAGAGGGCAGCTCTCATCTGCTAGAGGTTGCCCTTAGGTTTTAGACAATGTAGCTTTCTCCAAACAGGGCACTTTACTTCTTCAAGCCTCACAGAAGAATCTTCTCTGACTTCACTTGATTTGATTCAGACCATTCCTCTCTTTTGGTAGTCAGCTGATTAGAGCTGTTCTTGTGTCTGATAAATCCCTTCAACTCTGATGTAATATAATCAAATAAAAGCCATATCATCAAAGGAGTATCATTCAGGGATACTTGGTTTGTGGTAAATGATTGTTGAAATTAGCATGCTGTGAACATGATCCTATAAACATCTGATTGTAATAAACTAATATTTATAAACTTTAAATGTCACTTTATTATTTACAAAATGCTTATGTATATTTTGCATCACTTGATTTTCATGAGTTCTTCTCAAGGAGGCATGGCATGTATTATGCCAATGTGATAGAAGGAAAAATGAAAAACAAGGCTCAAGAGAACTACAAGTTGGATCGAAGCTTTGCAGCAGATTAGTAGTGAGGACAGCCAAGCTTCAAACGAGGATATTTCCACTCTGCTCATTTGCTTTTTTTGCAAATCTTGTAGTTTTCTAGCTGTGTTTGATGGTGTTCAGAGGAGATTACAGTGGAAACTGAGGTTGACAGTAGGTGAGCAGAGCTAAGTGTCTATATGCTGGCTTAGTTTCATTTGTTTTGTATGTTGGAGGTTTAGCACATGCTTTACTAACTACTGCAATGATGTGTTGTTAAAGATAAAGAAGAACATTTAGGAAAAATAGTGTAAAAATGGTTTAGAGAGCTGTATATAATAAACCAAGTCTCCATCCCAACAGTTTTAAGAAGCTGTCATCTCTTGCAGCAGCTGTTGAACCTTTTAAAAAGAAACAGGACAAACAAAAGAACCACATTATAGAGTTGGCTTGAAATGTACATTTCAAGCCCATTCTCTTTGCTTTTTAAATGTGTGTAAAAAATCAATACCTTTTTAATGTCTGGTCTCTTGTTCTTCTTTTCATGCAGACACTGACTAGCAACAGAGTACATAGCTTCAACTGAAGTGGAATCAGCATCATTCATCTTCACATCAATATAATCTTCAATTATCTTTTCTTCATCTTCAATTTCTTCTTTAATATCAAGCTTTAAATCAGAATATAAATTTTAATTATTTAAATTCCTCAAATACTTTGTAATAGCATGTACTCTCATCTCACTATCTTTTTTATTATCTTATTAAAGATTAAAGACATGTAAGACAAATCTTAAATATATACACACATATATTATTTATATCCCCTATATACTTTCAACCATTTACCTTCTAATTTTTGTATTTATTCTATGAGCTAACTGCTCACATTCCCATTGGCAGCATTTACTATGCTAGCAGCACAGGGAACTCTGCTACTTGATTCACTTCTGATGGTTTAATTCCCACTTCTGTACCCAGATACCCTCCTACTGCACATGACAAGTTTTTCTAAAGCTTTTGCTAAATCAAAGAAGAAAAGGGAAGGGATAAAGGGGAAAGGTTATGATAAAAGAATGATGGAAAGGGAGAGGGGTAGAGGACTAAGGTGGTTCAATGAGTTGAATGGTGCTCCCAAAAATACATGTCTATGTCCTCATTCCTGCAATTTGGAAAAAAGTTTTTGATAATGTAGTTAAATATTTTGGGATGAGATTATCCTGGATCATGAGACAAAAAGGGGAAGACACAGAGAAGACATGTGATTCGGAGTCAGAGACTGGAGTGATAGAGCTGAGTCAAGAAATTCCACCAGAAGCCAAAGGAAGTATTTATTCTGCCCAGGACCTTATTAAATGGCTAATTTTGAGAACATTATGCTATATAAATATCCTCTAATGCAAAATACTATATTGTATACATAACTGAACTATTACATTTCTAATATAACATGGAAATCTTTATATTGTAGTTTTATAACAGATACTTATAACACATAGAAACTGTACTTACAGTTTACTTAAAAGAGTATGGCACTAGGACCATGACCTTATAATCCTAACTCCAGGGACATAATCCAGTATGTGCATATTATCTGAATTGGTCACTCTGGTTTATTCCATTAGGACACATTAAATTGAAGTAAAATAAGTAATGTTATTTTATCAATTTTAAGAAAAACTTGTGCATAAGAGAAAGTATTTCTGTAAATCTTTAATTTTATAAAATGATCCTTGAAGTTCTAAATTTATGACATAGGAAAAAATGGCATGGAATAATTTTCCTATAGTTTCATTTGAATAGAAGGTATGATTTTTCTTTTTGAGCTGAAAATACTTTCAACAGATACCATGGAAAGTAACAAAATAAAGGTAAACCGGAGAGGACTTCAGAAATCATTTAGTTCTATTTTTATTTTACCCACAAAGCAACTAGAACAAAGAATATAGCAAGTGACTTTTCTGAGCTTCACAAGTACTTCATGTTAGACTTTTAATTGGAAATATTCCTACACCATTATATATTGCCAGTGGAAAGACTGTGGACAGAAAATGCCATTTGTAGATACCAAATTTACTTATATAAGTTAGGACTAAATACAGAGAATCAGCACTGAAAAAATAAATATTTCAATTACCAATAATTGAGGTTCACGAAGTTCATCCACAGCTGGAAGTCCAGTTATTATTTCTAGTAAAACCTATGAAGTAAAAAAAAATCATTAATATAACACTATGACAACATATAGAAACTCTGAAGGACTGTGGATCCTGATTATGAAATCCAATTAATAATTTCTGTATAAATCACATTGCTTTTAGGTGTGAAAGCAGAGGGAATATGAGTTTGGGCATCTTGCACCATCTTTCCTTCATGGTCACCTGAATCCCATCATGCATGTAAGCAGTTCTTTTCTATTGGCATCTTGCTAAAGAACCAGCTCTAACCAACATATATTCTGGGAACTCTTACCCTATCCCTGTTTTTTATGAATTCTTCACAAGAAGAATTTTCTTTAGCTCATTGGTAAATACTATTTTCTAAACATTAGGCATATTTTACAACTCTCTACCTTAACTTCCCATAGCACAATGAAGTTAAATTTTGATAATACAAAACATATTTGAAAAACTAAGGTGAAGAGAAAGATCCAATTTCTCCAGCTACCCTCACTGTATTCCTTATTCTAACTGAAAAATTACTAGAAAAAAAAATCAGAAAATGTCAAAAAAATGGAAGACTAAAGTACATATTGTATGCCCCACATGATTCATTTTAAAAACTGACTTAATTTAAGCTCCACCCATATTCATGAGGATAGATGGCAAGAAAATAATTTCTTTCAGTAATTTCAAAAATCCACTAAAAAATTTACACATTCGGAGAAATTTTTATAAACTTCATAGTATAATTACAGGTTAATGTGAACAATTTATACCTTTATAGAAAAGAAAGAGCTAAGCAAGACAACTGTATTAAAGTATTCTAATTTCCCAATTGTGTAAGAATGATTATTGTATGTAACTCACCACACCAAAGCTATAGATGTCAGATTTGGGTGTTATTTCTCCTCGCAAAGCTTCTGGTGCCATATATGCTGTTGTGCCCACAATTCTGCTAGTCATGACTGTCTGTGAGAACTTCTCAGAAGCCCGTGCAAGGCCAAAGTCAGATATTTTGGCAGTAAAATCTTCATCTAGTAAGATATTTGCACTGTAAAAATTTAAGATTTGGAAAAAATAATGGTTTTCTTTTCAAGTTATTTAGATAGATGCATGTGTGTATATATGCACAGCTATGTACATATTTATTTATTCCATATGATATTTTACAGTATATAGAAGCCTGAAATTTTTATAAATAAGTCAAAAATTCATATTACAACTAACAAGAAAAGATTGGTTTTGTTTCTTGAGGAAAGACATTTTCATTACTCCACAAATAATAGGGTAACTTCTTGCAAAGTCTTCTAAAACACTATTATTTTGTGTGGCGCTGGGGATCAAATCTAGGGCCTTGCTAGGCAATTGCTTTTCTTCTGAACTACATCCTCAGACAAAAGCACCATTCTATTGAAAAAAAATGCACTTATTTTTTTAATGAGACATAATATTTGTACATCTTCCTATGGGATACATCATGGTAATTAACATATATATATGTAATGTGTAATAATAAAATCAGGGTAATCAGCATATCCATCTTTTCAAACATTAATCATTTTTTAGGTATTGAGAATTTCATACTCTTCCAACCATTTTGAAATATGACATAGATTGTTTTCATCTACAGTTACCCTACTGTGCTAAAG